CAGGTGGCCTCCCCAGCCCCTTGACATGGCTCATGGGCCTCTGCTGGGACCGTGGGACCTGGCCGTTCCAGTAGACCTTCATATGGCTTCCCATGGCCCTGGACCTGAGACCTGGCTCATCTCAGCCCCTCTCTCCCCAGCTCCTCACCTGCTGGCCGCACCAGCTCTCGGACAGGCCATGCTCTCTCCCATCTTCCAGTGTCACCTCTCCCATCTTCCAGTCACTGCCCACCTCTAACTGGTGGGCCTCAGTTTTGCATTTTCTCAGAATCTTTTGGTCCCTCCCTGCATGGCACTTGACCAGAGAAGCCTTCTCTAACCAGCGTAGGGGGTCTTTTCTCCCAGTTATTCTTGAACACAGACCCCCGTTTGTCACCTCCATGGACCATCTCAAACAACGTGCGATTTCCTGTTGGCAGTCCTTCTACCACCACCCCCCCACCCCAAACCGGAAGGACCACAGAGCTGAGACCAAGTCTGTCATCAGTTCCCTAATGCATCTCAGCTCCCAGCACAGTGCCTGGCATCCAGCAGGTGCTCAACATGTAGCTGAACAAGTAGATGGGTTTTGCTGGATGGTTCTCATGAATGGATTTAGAAAATCCGAATACAAGATGAGGTGTGGGAAGCACAAGTTATGGGTACAACGTGTACATGTCAAGTGCCTACGTGGAAAAGGCTGGGAAGGAATCCAGAAGTTTCCTGAGGATGCCTGGTATCTACTTAGGATATTTAGATAATGGGAGAATTTCTCCTGAGTGTGATTGGCCTTATTTTCTAGAAACAGGCAAGACTCCTTTCAGAAGGCTTTGATGCCAATCCTGGCAGGGACCTGGCTTCTCCTCACAGCCTGCTTGTCCTCAGGGCACTCCCGGGGACTGTCGGTCAGTAGGCCCATGAGGGAACATACAGGAGCGCCCTGCCTGGGTGGGGGTGCACCACCCTTCGTCTGGTCCCAAGTAGCCAGTGTGGTCTTCTTACCCCTCAAAACAGTGCCATCATACAAGTGACAAACTGGTTTAAATATGTCAGGCTATGCTCTTCCAAATGTTGTTAGAGCAGAAAATGCCCACCCCTGGGAGCCCTGAAGTATGCATTCTACATCACTGTTTCAGCAGCTGCACCAGGGGAAACAGCTGGCTCTTGCCGCCCACTGCCCTGCCCCCTGAGCACCTGCTGTGCATCAAGTGTGCACCATGTGCTTCCCCAATGTGATCACATCTGATTTTCAGTGGTTCTCCCTGCACATCTTTTAGAACCATTTTAAAGGCCAGGCCACTGAGCCTCAGGAACATGAAGACCCCGAGCAAGGTGTCAAGGCCAACAACCTCCAACTACACCAGGGAAGGCCAAGGCAGATGTCAGTGCGGCCAGCCGGCCCGCCCTCCTGTCCCTGCTCCACCCAGAGCCGCAGCTGGGCCGGGGAAGCTCATGATCTGTAACGGTGGTGACCCATTCAGTGCCAAAGAGCAGCCCCAAGTCCTTCTCTGTGAGAGAGAAGTATTTATAGATGCAATGATATGATGTCTTCCATTGGCTTTACTACACTCAGGGAGGGCGGAGGTGAGCGGAGGTAATTTTGAAAAGAGAAATGGCGGAGCAGATGGAATGAGACGTAGTGAAAGAGTAATAACCTCTGAAATGCAGGCGGGGTATGTGGAGATTCATGGTGCCATTCTCTCTAAAAGTCTCATCTATTTTATCTTGTCAAGCTAGCCTTCCCTTCCCATCCCCCTTCCCTCCCGGCTGCCAGTCCCTGACCTGCGCCCCACGCCACTCTCCTCTCCAGCGGAAACAAAACAGGCTTGAGCACAGTCAGCTCTGCCTCTTTCTGCGGGGCGCGATGGCCTCCACCATGCTCCTTGTCCAGAGCCCCCGTGTCAGAGGTCACCGGGCACACCTGCCCAGAGGCCCGCAGCTGGTCAGCAGACACGTGACGTGGCTTCTGTGTACTCTTAGGCCGTGGTTTCTTATCAGAGTGAGACAAGGTCAGTAAATACACTTTAAGCCGCCTCTTCCCGTGGTATGGAGCTGGTGTGCCTTTGAGCCTGTCCGCCTGGATCACATCACCTTCCATGAAAGTTGACCAGCCCCCAGCATTTCTCCCTGAGTCAGCTTTCTTCAAATCACGGCGCTCACGAGAAGCATGCCCGGCTTCCAATCATTCGGCAAATATGAATGCCTTTGCCTATATTATGATGTTGCCTACATTTTATATATGTAGAAGGCATTTTGTGACATGCGAAGCATACTGATTTTTCCCCACTGGAAGGTCAGACACTCCTGCATTTAAGAATAATCACCGGGAGAAATACAAAGAAAAAAGGACACAAAGTCCAACAACAACACATGCTATCTTATTCTAGTACCATGTGCTCATAAAATCCATAAGTCCTAGTATTTTCTTTTTTTTTTTTTAAGATTTTATTTATTTTTTAGAGAGCGAGCGAGAGAGAAACAGCATGAGAGGGGAGAGGGTCAGAGGGAGAAGCAGGCTCCCCGCTGAGCCGGGAGCCCGATGTGGGACTCGATCCCAGGACCCTGGGATCATGACCTGAGCCGAAGGCAGATGCTTAACCATCTGAGCCACCCAGGCGCCCAGTCCTAGTATTTTCTGGATGGCACTCTTTAGCAAAGATATAATTTGTGACCGGGCTGGGTAAAGACAGACAGCCATTACTTTCTTAATGGCCAACTACCCAAAAAGGCTCAGTTAAGTGATCTCAACTAGCAATCTAATCAATTAAAATTGATAAGTGAAATACTTTTAACCTTTATTTCAGCAGGCCATTCCTGGGGGCGGGGAGGGGGGAGAAGGAAGGAATGTGAATTCCCAGCATAAAACTTAATTCCATTTCATGGATGCAAACATTCTTGCTGCCCTGATGGAGTGGTCCCTTTGAAAGCAAGCTGTTTCCCTCTTCCCTTGAATCAAATCAGAGAAAGACTGGTTTATGGTTCTCTGCAGCCAACTCAATCAATTTAAACCCTTAGAAAAATCCCTATCGCAATTTCTCAAGGAGAAAAGGACCAAAGGAGATGAGCACAGAGCAGCCCAAAGGGGACTTAGCTTCCTTGTTCTTCCGAGAGAGAAGAAAAAAAGAGATTAAGAAGAGGGCAAGAAGTTAGGGGCGCCTGGGGATCTCAGTCCGTTAAGCATCCGACTCTTGGGTTTGGCTCAGGTCAGTCTCAGGGTCGTGAGATCGAGCCCCAAGTCGGGCTCTGTGCTCAGCAGGGAATTTGCTTGAGATTCTCTTTCTCTCTCTCTGCCCCTCTCTCTCAAATAAATAAATAAATCTTAAAAAAAAAAAGTTAGTCAAGCAGGTAAAACCCGTAATAATCACAGAGAATCTTCTATTCAGGCAGAGTGCTCTGATCTTTATATGCATCACCTGCTTTAATTAGCAGGTAACACGGACTACAGTTCCTTGAGCACAGTTATATACTAGACACTATGCTCTGTCATATAATATTTCATATTATATTGTGCTCAAGTCTCAAAACAAGTCCATCATATAAGGAAGTCATCCCCAGTTTCCAGGTGAGGAAACGGAAGTTGAAGGGGTTTCAGTCATTTGCTCCGGGGAATTCACAGCAGGACAGGGTGTGTCAAATGGATCAAATGCCAACCCTCATGGTCTACATCATGATCGCTGGTCACACAGCTGAGCACTTCTGTCAAAACTCATCCAATGGTACACTAAAACTTGGTGAATTTTATCAGATGTAAACTGTTATTTCAATAAAGCTGAGTTAAAACAGCAGGGACCCTGTCCTTACCATGTGGGCCATAAAGAGTGGCCATCTGCCACTCCTGCCTGCTCAGCTTCCATCTCTTTGTGAGTTTCCTTTGAGGGCAACCTCCCTCCTCCCTCTCAGGTGATGGAGTTGAAAAGAAATGGGCCCCACTTCCCAGCTTAGGGTTCACCACATGACCCTGGCCTCGCTCAGTAATGAATCACATTCCTCTGACAACGACCGGTTCAGGGATGGCCCACTGACCACCCAAGCCAGACCAGAGGAAGACCACCTGCTGTGGACTTCCACAGAAGTTACAGGAAAAGGAAGCCCTATTTCTGGGAGGCCCGTTTAGCTGGTTCAGCAGATTTTGGAGCTGCAGATGGCCACCTTGTTGGTACCTGGTGAGAGCCCTCCTGAGGATGAAGCCAGAACAAAGGGAAGCCGAGCTGAGACAGGGCAGCAGCTTCCTGCTGACACTGCTTGAGTACCTAGATCCAGCTATGCCTGAAGGCAGATGTACTCCTGGACTTTCCAGTGACACCAGCTAATTCCCCTTTCTTTTTCCTTAAGCCAACCTAAGTTGGGTTTTCTGTCTCATAACCAAAGAATCCTACCATATCACAATGCCTTTAAGAAACAGAAAACCACCTTGCCCATCCGTGTGCATGTGCCCTATAGCAAATGGAGGAAAGAGAGAGCTGTATTTGTATGAGGAGGATTACAGGAGCTCGACCAGGCTTTATACCCACTGTCACTTTTAATCACAGCCTCATGCTCATGCTGCCGAGGACAGCATGAGGCACTGCGTGTGGTTATGGAGGGAGCCCAAGGCTGCAAGCCGAGCGGTTCTCCGGCCTCCCCTCCTCTGCCTCACATACAGGCTGCTGGTTTGCATTTTTGAAAGTTTTCCCCTTTTTCATAGCAGAGGCCTTAATCATGGAATCCTACAGAAACCCCTTAATACACAAAGCCAATCATGCTACAGTTATGTGGAGGGCAGGGATGCTGGACACCCCAATCACCCTGTGCAGCTCCACCTGGGCTCCGGAAAGCAGAGCCCGCACAGACAAGACTGCCAGGTGCCCAGCATCCAGGGCCCCTTCTTTGAGTCTGGCAGGACACGCACACTGTTAGCTTTTGGTGACAGAGCAACCGCAGGAGCAAACGCAGGTCGCACACAGACCCTCCCAGGGACACCGGAGCCGTCGTGGCAGCATGTGCACCCCTCCCCCCCACCCTTCCCCCCCGCCAGGACTCACTCAGATCTAGCACATCATCCGTTTTGATCAGGTCTTCCTCCCGCGTCAGGGGCAACTGGGTTTCGGGCTCCCCTCGCAGCTGCAGTGACAGGGAACGGAGCATGAAGAACACCCGGATGGCCTGGACAGAGTTCAGGAGCAGAGGAGGATGAAGCTGGAGTTATTTAGGTGAAGTGCTCCATATGGAGAAATCACACAGTCTGTGACTCTTGATTTAAACAAAACAAAACAAAGTCCACTTGTCCCAGTATCATGGCTCTGGTGTTTTCAGAGCAAGGCCAAAAAAAAAAAATCAAAGGGTGCAGCCTGTTTTTAGTTCATAGGTTTAGGCCACTTCACCTCAACTGAGCACCTGTCATTTGCCAGGAGCTCTCTCCTAGTGCCATGTGACCTTCATGACACCCTTGCTTAGCAAGCAGCCGCATTTTGCAGACAATGCACTGGGACCCAAGGAGGCTAAGTGAACCGCCCCAGGTCACACGGCTAGGGAGGGCTAGAACCAGGCCTCTTCCAACTAAACCAGCACAGAATTTGGAAATCCGTATCACAAGTAACAGTGTTCCCATGTCCCGCCTAGTGAATGCGGGGGTAGGGAGGGCAGAAGAGGGTGAGATGCTCGTAGGGTTCGCAGCCAGCCAGACTCCGTTAAAATTCTGCCCCTGCCCGTTCACAGCAGAGTCTCAGTGTGCTGTGGATGAGACAGCAGGCCTGGGGCCTGGCCGGTGTGCCATCACATCAGTGCCCCAAGCACCCTCAGGCTGACCCAGCCACTTCCTGGGGCCAGAGACAGCCCCGCCAGCACAGGGATTCCTGGCCCGTGGACGAGGTGTCTGCGTGGAGTCCGGTATGGACATCAGACGTTTCCAGAGAGCAGGAAAAACACAGAATCCCAGGCCCAGACCCAGAGAAGTTCGCGCAGAAAGCGGCTTTTACCGAGGACTCAGCCTGCTGTGAGTGCACCTGACCCCTGGGTCCTAGATTGGGGCTGAGGTGCCCACCGGCAAGAGTCTAGGAAGCGGAGGCACAGCCCATGGGAGAGGCCACCTCCATGCCACCTTCCCCGACACACAGCTGATGGGCCTACCTGAGGCACACGCCTGAGGGAAGCAGCTCTGGAGTCAGACACGTGAGGCCTGTGTTGGACACACCAGGCAAGGCCCCTGGCCTCCATGAGCTTCGATTTCCACATCTGTGAAATGGGGTGGTAGTCCCTGCCCTGCAGGCCTGCTAGGAGGCTCTGAGATAATGGGGGGGGGGGAGGGGGGAGCAGCCCGCATGTGTTCCGTAAAGGGGCCGCCGTCCTTTCCTCCAGCCACTGGATAGCTGGGCACAGGGGAGGGCATGGGGACAAACCACTGTCGCCACTGGTGAGCCACACAACGATGAATTCCAGCCCACTTTTGGTCTTCTTGTTTACAGTCCTGAGGCTACAGGCCTGGCCCACTGAGAGGGGAGACCGCCCTTCCTATGACAAGGTGCCTCCCAAAACAAAGCGGGGGGGGGGGCAAGTTCCTGCCTGCAAAGAGCAGGCCTTGCATGGACTCCTGCTGACCCAGGCAACAAGGATGCCCACTGGCACATTTAAACCCGAATCCGGCCTTGGCCTGGACCTGGCAGGAAACCTGAGCCACTGCCTCCATCTCCTAATGGAGAAAACTGGAAGAACAACCCTACCTCCTGGATGTATGCTGAGGTCATGTATTCCCCCTTGTCCACCAGAAGCATTAGAGACAGATAAGCCTTTATATTATAATGATGGGGGTGGTAGTAGGGATGGCGGCATTAGTATTGATCTGATTGTCCTTACCAGTTTTTTAAAGTACAGCCTTCCTAAGACATTTGCAACAATCAGGAAAAAAAGGAAGTGCCTTTTCATTTTTTTAAAAATCAAAACAGCTTTTATTTATTAAGCACCAACTGTGCGCCAGGCACCGTGTGCACCTTACTGCAACGTAAAGCTGTTACGCAAGAAAAAACGGAACTGGGAGGGACAGAGCGATCCAAGTTCACGCTGCTCGTGATGCCTGAGCTGGGCTTGGAACCACCAATGTCTGATGTTTGTGTCACTTAACCAAGCCCACAAGGACACTCGCATGCGTGCACCAGCCCGAGTGCAGAAAGCCTGAGATGCGGGTGGCCCCTTGAACTATATGGCCATCTGAGCTCTCAAGTAAGGAATCATGGCCTCGGAATTGAGGAAAAAGGCCCATCGGTCAGGTCCAAGCTGAGTGAATGCTTCATTTCAGTGTCAAAAATCCATTCCTCTCAAAGGTTCTGAAGGCAAAGTAATCAAGCAGGACCCTTGCTGGGGAGTGAAAAAAGAGGAACGTGTGCTTTTTTAGACCATCACTCGGAGAACCTGAAACCTTCCAATACAAAAGGAGTTTGGAATTTGGCTCCTAGTATAGACCTTTTTGCTTTTGCTCTGGAAGCAACAAATGGAAAATATTTCCAGAAATACAAAAAATAATGACAATAATACAACAATAAAAATATAAAGAATATAGAACACGCTGACGAACCCCACAACTTCGGGAATCCACGAAAGAGAGGTAAAACACCAGGATAAGGGTCCTCAAATTCATCCCACAGCCCCCTAAACAGTAAGCCCCCCCCCCCCCCCCGCCGCTTACCCGAGACCTGCCAGGTACTGGCGGGGCTGGACCGTGTCATCTCCCTGAAGCCTCTTAACGACCCTCCGTGGTTCCCATTTTACAGACCGGAAACCAAAGCCCAGGGATGTGAGGCAGCCTGCCCACAGTGACTCAGCTAATAACCGGACTCCAAAGTCTGTGTTCTTCCAGCCACATGCCTTTGCCTTCAAAAGATTTAAGGCTGGGGAACCAGGCTTTTATTGAATGCTTCTCTTTACTTTGCCAAATAAACATGCACTTTAAAAAGTATTAAAAAGGAAGAAGGAATTATTGCTTTCTGATGCTTCCACAGAATGCCAGGAAGACGGACTCTGGAAGCACACACCAGCTTTGGCAAGGGGTGACAGCTGAGCATGCTCAAGTTAAAGAGGCTCATCCCGTGTGCTCTAAGGCACCTGGGAGCAAGCTCTGCAGCAGAGTCGTGGGGAAGGAAGCGGGGTCATGGGAGAGGAGTCCACTACAGTGGGGCAGGATGGCTTCAGGGTCGAACAGAACTCGGCGAGTGAGTCACGTGAATTCCCTGGGCCCGGGCTCGAGTTCTGGGAATGGAGTACCCACCGGCCCTGATCTTGGGGCCTCCCTGGAGGTGCACCCTGAATCGAGAGCTCAGGTCCAGCCCTCTCTCTGCTTCCCTTGTCACATTTGCAAGCCATGGAGTTCGGGGGGCTGTCACCCAGATGAGGAGCCCACCAGGCGTGGAAGTGGCTGTGAAAAGCCAGTCACTCCTAAGAGGGTGCCGAAGCAGTGTCACGTGGGCCCGCCCCGCCCTGAAAGCCCCTTGGCAATATGGGGAGCGTCACACAGAAAATGTCCGTGCCCCCTGAACCAGAAATTCTACTTCTGGGAACTTTTCCTAAAGAAATAAGCCAAAAGAAAGAAAACCCTGTATTCGTGAAGCTGCTCAGGACAGTTTAGTTGAAAATAATGTAATACTGGAAGCAACCAGAATGTCTAGCAGCAGGAAAATGCCTGAGTAAGTTATGGCAGAAGTCGCCAGATAAACTTTCACGCACCAGTAAGAAATGTGACTGAAATTAAAACCGCATCCCAGCACAGAAAGCTTCTCACTGTACAAGGGAGAGAGGGAAGGAAGAGACTGGAAGGAAGAGCACAATGCACTCTTCCTACCGGCATGAGACGATGTGACTGAACACAAAGACAGGGAGGAGACACGAAAAGCGTCTAAGCTTTCTTTGTTTAGGGTGATGAAATCACGGGAAATTCTTTCCCTCTCCTTTCGAAACCCTATGAGATGTGCTTTAATGTGTAATATGCATCCAAAGAATAAAGAAAAATATCCTATTTCCTTACAGGCAATAGCGATAAAAACAAAAACTGTTTGTGGTTTTACGTGGGAACAAGGAACAGAAGTCAGGAACAAATAAAATTTCACGCGACTATATTTATTTCATACTGGCTTCCAAGATTATCACAGACGGCCAGTGGCTTACATTCAGATCTTGAGATTCACCAGAAATTCCTCTCCCTAACTCTCTTCTCTATGCTGAAGCTTCAGTAGATGGCTAAAAACTTTCTTTCCCTCCTGAGACGTTAGACTGCTCCACCCCTGTTCAGCCAACATTTCCTGAGCTCTTCCTGCCTGCCGGGCACCTTGCAGTCCCTCTACCTTATCTACTTTGGCCAGGAGCTGAGAGACAGGACGCACTGAGGCTCAAAGAGGGTAAGCAACTTGCTCAATGTCACACAAGTGGAGCTGGGATTGAACCCTGGTTGGTCCCACGAGCCTGTGTTCTTTCTTAACGGCTTCTCTCAGCTGCCCCTGGGATAGGTCCAGCCCATGTCCCCACTTCTGCTTCCATGTTCTCATCAGATCCCAGTAGTTCCTAAAACCTTCATTTCAGCGTGAATTCCCCTTATTAGCTGGCATGGCTCAGTGGCACTCTTGCTATTTTGGTCTTATATTATTTATTCACGGTCTATTCTTGCATTTTGCACAGTGCCTGGCTCCTAGAAAAATGCACAACAAATACGTTGAATGAAAGAATAAAGAGTGTGATTTGCAAAATGCAAGAGGGACACCATGACTTTCAGTGTCGGATGCCTCCCCATGGCCTGAAAGGCCTAGCCATCCTCCTGTCCTGTCCCCTCCCCTCCACTCTGCTCTTCACCTGCTCCTTGAACACGCTATACTCTTTCGCATCTCGGGGATTCTGCACTCACTGTCCCTTCGGCCCTGTTCATTTCTGCACCATCTGGCATCGAGTAGGCATCCAGTGGCTCTCTGGTGATTGGATGACTATTTTACAGGTTAGGAATGATGTATTAGTAAGGGTTGTTTGAACTTCTTTAACAAGTCCTCAAGGAAAACGAAAGGTGGGATTTCTGAAAAGTGTCAGCCTCCTGAAAGTTAAAAAAAGTCTACTTGGTGGAAAAAAAAAAAAAAGGGAAGAAGAAAATGTTTGAATCCAAAAGGATGAAATGGAATGTTCTTTGGATACAAGCAAAGAACTTGAAACAAACCACATAAGCCCTCAATTGCTTGCTAAACCATACACTTCCTTTAGCTCAAATTCAAAGCACACTGCTGTGTTCTGATGTCTGAAATGGGCTAAGGAGCTAAGCTTCTAGATGATTCTAGACAGCTGCCTTCAAACAGGAACTGGACTGAGGTGAGTGGTCAAAATCCCCCTTTAGAAACTGATTCCTGAAGTCAGGGAAGCTTCTCTAAGGTAGATGGCTTCACTTTGAGATGGTCAGCGCTATTCTATATATTCTGCCACCTTCTCCCTGGCTCTAAACCCAGGGACCCTGAGACTTGAGGGTTGATCGTATAAACTTGTCAGACAAAGGCTGAACGAGTGACTCCAGGGAAGCCCAGGCATTCCTGGGAGGTCTCTGTGCTTCACGTAGCAGTTGCGCCATGCATCTCATCTGGGGAAAGGGAGGTGGGCAGCACGACCCTGGAACTTACAACCAAGTGAGATGTCTGGGGCAAAGGGAAGAAGGGAACCCCTACCCTCGAGAACTCTTACTGGCTTTCTGTGCTCTGCCCTTCACTGAGTCCCCGCAGTGACTCTGGCAAGGCAGGTACATGCTGCTTTGAGACGGGAGAAGGAACCCCAGAGCCCAAGCGACCCTCCCTTTGCCATATGCCTTGGCCCTGAATTTTTCCCATCCTCTCCTGTAGATCAGGACCGTCTGCCCCAACCCAGCAGGGCCTGATGCCAGGAAGTAGCTAACAAGGTCAAGGTCCTCAATGGGCTCTAAGGACCCAGAGATCAGCCCCCTCCAGCCTCATCACTTCCCACAAAGCCTCCCTCACTGTGGGCTGCAGCCATGTCCCCTCCTTGGAGGTGCTGGAATGAGCCACATCTGTCCAGGCCTTTGCCTTTCCTGGCTGCCCAACCTATCCCTCTGCCACCCATTCTACATCCCTCCCCAGGCAGGAGGAGGCGCCTGACCCCATGTTCCTTTAGCAACAGCCTCAGACGCACAGACTGGCAATGCTCCCTTTCCTACCTTGTCCTCTAGACTCTGACTCCTTGAGGACAGACATGTTAGGTCCCTGCTGTCCGACACCAAGCAGGGCTAGTAAATACAATGAAGGGAGTGGTGGGAAGCAGGTCACACTGCCTGCAGGGAGTCCTGGCTCTGCTACTTATGAGCTGGGGGACTACGAGCCAATCACCTGACCTCATCATGCCTCAGTTTCTTCCTCTGCAAGACGGGTTCATATAATGCCAACTTCTTAGGACGGTTGTAGAATTACATGAGGAGGTTCACATAAAGGACTGATGGGAATGACTCACTTGGTATCAAAGAGGAGCTCATCTAAGTGTTGAGAAAACTGGGGGCCCAGGGACCAAAAAGAAGGCAGAGGGCAACCCAGAGCAGCAGCTCTCCCCATTCACAGCCTTCCGGACCTCTGGCTCAGGGGACGAGGTGGGCCTCGGGGACAGGACCTTCGCTCTAGCCTCGCCACGGAACATTTCCGAGGCCAACCAAAGGCTACAGGTGAGCATGCCCGCCCGTGAAGGAGTCGCCAACACAACCCATGTTTGTCAAAACCAGGCCTGTGGTGAAGCTGGGGCCAGTGATGCCCAGTGCAAACAGTGCCACCCACAAACATGCTCGTGTGCCCGGCCACGGGGCCTGCAGGGCTGGCTGGGAGCACGAGGAAGGCGGGTGTCACTGGCTCAGACAGGGTGGGTCCTGTGGTGAGGTCTGCGGGTTTGGTCAGACAGCAGGGAATGTGCGCTGACTTAAAACATACAGGTCGGACTTCCTCTGCATCCCCCTCCACCCCAGGCCTCCGAGGCCAAATCATCGCCTGGGTAGAGGAAGGCCACGGAATCCTCCTGTTTGAGGCAGATCCAGCAGGTCACTCCTGCTTCTCAAAATCCCAAAATTAACACCTCTGCCGCTCTGGTTAGAACGGGGATTAGCTGAGAAGAAGAGGGCAAGGAGCTCATCGAATTTATCCCTTCATGTCTCCAGGGAATGATTTTCTAGGAAGAGGTGATGGTGCTTTCTAAGAAAGAAACTGATCTTACGCGAGAGATAAAATACTGTGAACAGCCCTGTGAGACTGCTTCAGAAAAAGTGCTGATAAGGGACGCACACTCCAGCAGGGTTCTGAGAACTCCTCTGCTTTTCACACGTGGGAGCGGACTGGCAAGAGTCACAATCTCATTTGTGTGTGCCTCGCACCCAGATCCCTCAGATACCTTATCAGCACACCACTGCTCCATCTCCAGGGGTCCCGAGCCTCCCTGGGAGAGGATTTCACACCAGGGCCTCACCTGCACTGCCTGTTCTCGGCTCACTCCCCCAGGTGCCTGGCAGCAGCCCAGAGGTGTCCCCCCCAGAGCCTGGGGCTGGGGCCCTGCTCTGCACCAGCCAAGGCAGCCTGCCTGGCCCTCACACAGGGGAATCTCAATCCTGTTTTAGCCAAGGGCAGCTGGCCTTGGGAAGTTCCTCCCGGTGGCAGGGCGCCAGGGGGGTGTCATCCGCCCCCTGTCCAGAAGTGGGTTGGAAGGCGGGCTCTTGACCTGGTCAGCTGGCAGCCCAGGGAGAGGGGGGTCCCGCCCGCACTTACTCACCCGCCGGGTCTTCTCCACATCGCCGCACGGCAGCCGCTTTACAAAGTCAATGCCGGTCAGTGGCGTGCCCGTCGGGGGCAGCAGGATGGAGGCGTCCATCATGAGATACTCCACATTCATGGGCTTCATCTAGAAGGAGAGACATTGTAGGAAACCTCACCGAAGGGAGGAAGAGCATGGGGCAGGTTACCCAGGCCCCTCGCCTGTACCTGCGCACAGCTAGTGAGTAAAGCAAGCCCACATTAGGGCTGGCATGAGGTCTCAAGGCAGCCAGGCGTGCGAGATGTGAGCCGTTGTTTCCCAAGACACAGACCTTTCCTTCCCTTGAAGTGATAGCTCAGACACTCCTGGGAAGCTGCCTCCGTGCTGTGAAAAGCTGCGCTCTCCCACCGGCTCATGCCCCTCCGGCTCATGCCCCTCCACCCGGCAGGGAGTGGGTCCCTGACCACAGCCCGCCTCCCTCCCTTTGTGCTGTCAAGAATGACGACAGCAGACTAGTGATGGCAGCTCTCAGTTATCGTTTATCTAGAGTGGGCTACAGACTGTGGGCAGGCGCTGACCTACAGGCTTTGCGTGCGTGATCCTCCTTAATCCTCCCAAAGACTCCAGAAGGGATGTTTCCTGATCTGCTCATGAGAAAACGGAGACTCAGCCGGCAGGTGGCAGAACTAAGACGCAGACCCAGGCCTGCCCTGCTCCAGACCCCGTGACTCCTGCCACATGACCACCATCCCCTTCCTTCCTCACCACCTTGCTGTCTTTACCTGGGATCATACAACAAAGTCACTTACTGAGCATCTACTAAGTGCCAGGCGCCTGCAGGGCTCACCTCCTGCTAGACAGCGATGTTGATGCTGTTCCTTATTACAGAGGGGGACACTGACCTCAGAGGAAGGGCGTATGCCCACAGCCCCTGGGCCACAAGGGAGCACACTGTCTGTCTGCTTCCACACCACCTCCGGGAAGCCTTCTCTGATTACAACGACGTGGTATTGACACCTCCCCTCCTGGAACTCTGCTGCATCAGTACGGACATTGAATGTGCACATGTTGTTGGACACGGACACTTCATTTCCCTGACATCATAAAGGAATGACATTTCACAGGGTACATTTCCTACAGAATTAACTTTACTCCTCCAAGCATCACATGCTTTTTTGTGTGTCTTTTTGGGTTTTTATTTTTCAGAAAGTGGGCCTTAATCATATTACACTCTCTCCCTCTCCTGGAACATATAGCTGACCACATGGGGCAGTTGTGGTGAAGGCCCAGCTGTCTGCGCTAGGGAGCCAAGGAGACACTTAGTTTGTGCTGCTTGTCTTTTTCTTTTAGCCACCCCCCAAAGGCCTGGGGTCCCCCATCCTGAGCCCCTTTATCCCAGGACCGGGTGGCAGAGCCCTGAGTCCCACCCCAGGGCCGCCCTTGGCATTGCCTTCCAGCCTGCCCACCGTTCCCTAGCAGCCCCCCTCCGCTCTGCCCCACCTCCCTCCACCACCTTCCCGGTGAGCAGTGCCGACGGCTTCTGTTGCACTCATTACACCTCTGCGCTAAATAGGAGGTGATAAGAGAAGTGAACAAGGGTCTAACATGAAGGCATGGCTTCAGTGCAGGGGTCTCCATGAGCACCCGAGGGCCTATCTCCACTTCATTTAGCTCAGCGGCTGCTTTCCTCGAGTCCGACCTCAGGACTGACTTTCAGGTATGGGGGCTGGGGATGTGTCCCCTCTCTATTTCTCTAGGGGGCCAGGCCCTGTGCAGACCACACAGTAAACATGGGACAAGACACACAAGTACAGCCCCAGAAGCTCCCCATGGCAGGAGGGGGAGGAAGCAGATATTCCTTGTGCGCACACCCCACAGGAGGCGCCTCCTAGGTACTTCAGACCCAGGCGCATGGTTTGGGCCCCATCTTACAGATGGAAAAAATGAAGGCGCAGAATGTAAGCAACCCACTGAAGGTCACGCAGTTAGTAACAACAGCAGAGGGGCGCCTGGGCGGCTCAGTTGGTTAAGTGTCACACTCTTGGTTTTGGCTCAGGTCATGATCTCGGGGTTATGGGATCCCGCCCTGCATCAAGCTCAGCGGGGAGTCTGCTTGAGACTCCCTCCCTCTCCCTTGGCCACTCCCTCTCTGCTTCTCCCCCTGCTCACACACACACCGTGTGTTCTCACTCTCTTTCAAATAAATAAATAAATAAATAAATAAAATCTTAAAAAAAAAGGCAGGGGCGCCTGGGTGGCTCAGTCGGTTGAGCGGCTGCCTTCGGCTTGGGTCGTGATCCCGGAGTCCTGGGATCGAGCCCCATATCGGGCTCCCTGCTCAGTGGAGAGCCTGCTTCTCCCTCTCCCTCTGCCTGCCTCTCTGCCTACTTGTGCTTTCTCTCTCTCTCTGTCAAATAAATAAATAAAATCTTAAAAAAAAAAAAAAAAAAAAGGCAGAAACTGAGCAGGGGTTTAGGAGCCTGAGCTTTTCCACACCGTCAAGCGACATAGGAGACTTAACGTTTCCAACAGGAATCCAAACTGTGGAGAATTACATTGCAGAAGGGGACATCACAGGGGCAAGATGAAATGGTAGCTAAGCCCCAAATCCACTCCACTCTAACTACCGGTCCAAAGAGTAGAAGTCCGAGACAGCCTTCCAGGGGCGGGGGTAATAACGGGGAGCAGCGGCCATCGCCAGGTGTGAGGCACATCCGAGCAGCCTGTACCTCACCAGGAGGCCTTGGGCGCTACTGGGGTATTTCTGGAGATGATCTATGCCAGTTTACAATTTTCCCTGGAATAGGCTCTGCAGAGGCCTTGGAAGTGCCGAGGGCGAGGATGTGGTAAGGGCCCAGCAGTCCCTACCCGGTGAGATGGGCTTGGGAGCCAGGAGACACTTAAAGCAAGCTGCTTTTGTCTTTGCGACACTTTAGACACTTAGGTTTACTATAAACTTCTGGAATTACTTCATTTTTTTTTTTTTTTTTAAGATTTTACCTATTTATTCATGAGAGACAGAGAGAGAGAGGCAGAGGGAGAAGCAGGCTCCCCAAGGAGCAGGAAGCCCGATCCCAGAACCCTGGGATCATGCCCTGAGCCAAAGGCAGACGCTTAACCGACTGAGCCACCTAGGCGCCCTCACTCTTTGATGAGCAATGTCCATGAAAAGGACATTTATCATCTATTTACAGAGTGCCAACTAAGGGTCAGACGATAGGGATGCACAGAAATGAACAAAACAGAGAAAGCTGCAAATCTTCTAAACCCATCTTTTCCCATGACTTATGCCTGATGGACAGAGGGAAACAGGGCAGACTCTGGGCAGTGCTGTGGATTCAAGGATAAGCAACACGCTGGAACATTCCGGTGGCACAGCAAAGGGCAGGGCACTGGAGGCAAACTGCTGTGCTTTGGAATCCTGGCTCTGCACCTCCCTGGCTGGACAGGCATGGGGCCTCACTCGACCTCTGATCCTTGCCTCCTGATCGGGGTGATAGGAGTCTACGCTAGCAGCCCCTCCCATCAGGTTGACAGGGGCAGTAACAGGATGAACACATACAACGTGCTCTCCACTCCTGACAAGGCACGAGTCCTCAAAGATTATTCGTATCAAAGTGAATCTTTCCGACCCATCTATGGCACAGCCCACAAAGGGGAAGTGGGGGTCATCTGAAATTTCACCAGTGGCGGGGATCAAAAGGCACCATTTCCAATTCACTTCCCCACCAATCTCGGTCAGAAAGGCCCCAGTTAGACAGCTTTCTCTCAGTTTCACCGGATGAGCCGTGCAGGCAACCAAGTGCGTCCTGGCCCCTCACTTACTGTCATGCTCCTGTACTCATCTTCAAACATGTCCAAGAAAATTTCTTCTCCCTAAAAGAGGAAGGGAGAGAGATTATGCATATTTTTTTCCATAAACACCAAATTATTATAAACTCCAGTTCATGGCTGTTGGGGCCATCTGGTTCTCATCAGTGAGTTCTTGTAAATCACCAGGAAGTAAGACACACACGTGAACACGAACACACACGCTCAAATGAAAGCCCAAATATCATATTCCACCTCTCAATGTTTCTCTTTTTTTTTTTTTAAGCATGTGCAGTTAGATTCCTTCTGTCAAGGCAGCTAATTAAAATGACAACAAAAGTAACACCATATATAATTAAACTATAAAAGTGGGTGAAATTGCGAGTGTTTCACATCATCTATGTGTTGAGAAGGGTTGGAGAAATGGGAAGCCTGGTTCAGGTGCCATTTTAAATCTATGAGGCTCCACGCCTCAGAAAGGAAGCGTATAAGCATACTTAACACTAAAATTACACAGCTTGTTCCAGTCATTTCTGAGGCACACCTGTAAGGCTCTGCAGTTCTGCAGGGCGGTGGTGGGTAAGACTCTGGCTCTGAGACACGCAAACCAGGGGCCCAATCCCAGCTTTACCTCTCAGAGCCTCTCTCTGGTTCGCTGCAAGACTGGAATGACAGCCCATGTCTATGCAGGTCACTGCGAGGATGACAGGAGTTAACCCGAGTAAAGTGCTGACCACAGAGCCTGCCACTCAGTCGGGGCTGGTAAATGCTAGCACTCATGGTCATTATGGTCACCCTCAGATGAAGCACAGCTAGGGAGGGGAGTGGAGATTCAGCTGAATGCATCATGACTATTCAAACTGTCCTGTCTCACTCCTAAGTCCTGAATCTCTCTCTCTCTCTCTCTCTCTCTCTCTCTCACACACACACACACACACACACACACGGTCAGGATGGGAAAAGGAGCAAGTCCTTTATATATTTTTCCAGTTGAAACTTGAATACTCTTGCATGGGGTAAGAACCACGTAAGAACCACAAAAATCACAATCCTGAGAACGTCCAAAAGCTTCTGAGATATTATACTTAGGGTATAACACTTATAGGACAAATAAACAATCTGGGTAGGGAGAAGAGCTACAATTCAAATATAGCTCTCTTTTGGCTAAAGATATACCCTCTGGGAAAATGCCTACCTATATATCTCTGTCTTTCTGACTTTGCAATGCAAAAGCTTTCTAGGGGGGGAAACAAACGAAGAGCCATTATCCTGGAAAGAGACCCAAAGATGACTAATGCAGCCGTGAGGCTCCCACTCTCTTCTGGGCTTTACTGAGGACTTGTATCCTCACTCAGAGGCCAAGCCCCTCGGGATGGCCTATGGGAGCCTAGGATCTCCTCCCCCACGCTGGGGGCCCACAGTGGTCCACCCTCATCTGGGCATGTCCACCATGTTGCAGCTGCATGGGGTCGTCTGCGCCTGGCGAGGTGGATTTCCAGATTATAAGACCTCGCTTTCTCTCAAAGGACACCGACAATAATGGGCAGTGGCTTAAAAAGCTTCCTGCAAAGAAAAGGGATCTGCTGCATATGTGCCTATGATTCACGGCAGTTTGTAGAGACTACAGATAATGAAAGCAGGTGAACAACAAGAAGATGGCAGCGCCGACACCTTTCCTCCTCCAGAGAGGTTCTCTGTATCAGCCAAATGACCATGGGAAACCCTGGCTAAGTGGACCTGGGGAGATCTGACGTGGAAGTCAAAAACTTGGGGAGCTACAGGGCCAGTGTGAATGTGGATTAATCCATCTCCTGCTGACAGATGATGTGCTTCCCTAAGAATATATCACGCTTTAGATATAGAGCAAAACAAAACCATCACAGTGAGATATTTCAAAACTAACCATCTGGAATCTGAAGAGGACATGTACAAATTCCCCGGTGACTCAGAGTCCTGGTGGCCCTTTACAAATCTCACTGAACTTAATGATAAAGGTTTAGAAGCCTGTATGAGGTGTCTTGGCATACATGTCTGTAAATGACATACATGCATAAAATTCATAAGTAATTCAAAAGTTATTTTATATGGAAAACATACATACCTCATGCATATATTAATTTACATATGTAATAGTCCCATGCATGCATGTAATTCACATTTATATGTAGATTCATCAGTAAACAAATTCATATATCATTGATAAACAAACTGTCACAGACTAGGGGTGAGTCCTCAGAAGGGGTACCGCTAAGAAGAGCGCAGGGCCCGCTGCTCGGGGGTTTGACATGGCGCGTGCTTAGTACGCACGGGTACAAGAAGTCACCACAGACTTGTGATAGGTATGTGCGCACGCCTAGATACTACAATCTTGTGTCTGTGATGCACACCACACTGCCTTCCCCTGCGCTCTGGCCACTTACCTTATAAAAATGCCGCGCTAGGTGAACGCTTTCTTCTCTTGCGCCCTGTTGAAAGAGGGAAGATGGGAAGGCGGCCAGTGAGTTGGGTAAGTTACCAATTCCAAAATCTGAGTGCATATCAAGCAGATGAGAGGCTGGGCTCATATCCTTAAATCAACAGAGTGGTTTGTAATAGGGAGGGAAGGAGGGAGGGAGGGCGGGCGGGCAGGCTAGCTTAAAATAAAAATGGGCAAAAGAGAGGGGATTCTGGAAAGTTGTTAACATACAGTTAGGTGGGGGAAGCGGGTTATAAAACATGGCCATGGTGACTCATAAATGTGTCTGTGTGTGGGTATCTGGAAAGACACACGCCAAAGCATCAACTATAGCTGTTCTTTTTTGCCTTTGTACTTTCTAAATTTTCTCAAATAAACATGAAAAATAAGGGGGAAAACAATAAAAACTAAAAAACAATGAATACAGATATTAGCACTATAAAAACATAAAAAGCATGCAGCATGCATGTGTTTGGATATGTGTAACATTTTTCTAATACATAAAGGAAAATATTAAAATTCTGGTTGACAAATACAGGGCCAAAAGCTGTCACAGAAATTACTGAAATTCACTAATTAAGAGGGCTCATCGAGCCAATCTCAGAAGAATGGTAATTCCACCGGAACAAGGGGGTTGTAGTGGGGGATCAGGGCTATTAGGCCCTGCTTCTCGCCGGTGCTGCAGACCCCAGGACCGGGGCTCCCATCTGAATCCAGCAGTTTCCTTCCCACGCACGGCCTCCCGCGGAACCCAGGCGGTGGGAGGGGGCCCTCACCTCCAGGCAGGCAAGGTGCACATCCTTTATGATGCAGCCCATGCTGGTCACCACTTGCTGCTTTAGGAGTAGGCAGCTCAGCTCCAGCGTCGCCAACCGGATCTTCCCATCTGCAGGGGAAAGCAGGGTCAGCCTCGCACAGCCTGGTGGGAAGGCCTTAAACGCAGTTTCTTGCCTTGCCCACTTTGAGGTTAACAGGTCAGCTGACGGCCCTTGACATCCAGTGGGGACACAGAGGGAACTCACATGCCAACCCCTTCCCAATTACAATAAAATGTTCCATCCAAAACACCCACACCAAATACTCCCCTGCACTCCCTTTATCAAGTGAAAAGGAGGCAGGAAAAAGATTATTACTAATTATTCCTGAAGGCGGTGAAAGTGGCCGTCTGTGGTTACTTTCCTTGGCTCGGTTCCCTCCCCTTTTCAGGAGCAAGCACCACTCTTTCCTTTGGAGAATCACCAACCCCACTCTTGGGTCTCTAATTTGGGTGGGGCCAGTCCCTTTGCTCTGTCCCAGGGAGGGGCACATCACCCAGGCTGGTCAGGGTGCTCTATTCCTCCGGTCACAGTGACTGGGGAGGGGACAGGCAAGGGGGGCCGGTCAGAGCCAATAAGGCTCAATTCCACAACATGCTGGGACCACTGTGCAAGAGAAGGTCTCCTTGTGCTGGTCTGAGGGCAGGACAGGAACCGTGTCGGGGCCCTGAAGCGCCCTGAGCAGCACAAGCCTTATAATCCACATTGGCCACCTCTGCACCCTTGCCTGCGTTTTCCATCTTGCGTCCAAGTCCACCCTTCCCATCAGACTGCCCAGAGTATGTCTCCTACAGCAAGGCCCAAACCCCGGAAGGGAAAGGGATGGCTGGAGCTGCAGCTGGTAGTTATCCTGCTAACACACAAAGTGGGAGAGTCCAAAAATAGTCCTGAAAACATTGAATTTCTGTTTCCAGCTGTGTCTGAAGCCAGGCTCCAAAAGACTTCAAGTTACACAAGCCAATAGTTTGTTTGTATTGTTTCAGCCTCAGTCGGGTTTCTGTTGACGGCAACCCACCTGCTACGCTACTGTGAGCCAGGCACGGTGCTGGACACGTTACAGACCCTCCTGCCAGGAGTCTCTGGAAAAACCCATTGCGGTGGGTGCTCTGAAGACTGAGGTTCAGGAAAGTCCAAAGTCTCACCCTAGGACTCCAGGTGCTCTGAATGCCAAGACCCACGTCGGGCACTGCTCCTAGAAGCATCTGTGGCCGCCTGACAGGAGGGCAACCTGCTCTTAGGCAAACTGCTCATTGGGTCTTTTTTTTTTTTTTTTTTTAAGATTTTATTTATTTATTTGACAGACACAGCGAGAGAGGGAACACAAGCAGGGTGAGGGGTAGAGGGAGAAGCAGGCCTCCCGCCGAGCAGGGAGCCCTATGCGGGGCTCGATCCCAGGACCCTGGGATCATGACCTGAGCTGAAGGCAGTCGCCCAACCAACTGAGCCACCCAGGCGCCCCATGCTCATTGGGTCTTTAAGCACCTTTCTGGGGAGATGTCTCAATGTGGAGGAGGGGCGAGGGGAGGAAGAAGTCTCCAGGCCACAGCCCTGAGGCCCTGGAAACCCCAGACGTCAGGACCAGGTACTGGGAAAAACTCAAGGCAGACGTACCACCGCACACCTCCCTGCCCACCCCTTCCTGCTTCACCCATCTGGTGGGGAACGGGAGAAGAGAGAAGCGTTCACTGGGAAAGGCTGCTTGGTCTCAGCTCCGTGGCTCTGTCTCACTCTCTAGCCCCATCGACCCAGCACGAACATGGCTTCTGTACGGCCGCCCTACTGGCCGCGCCCACCCGCCTTCCACCTCCAGCTCTCTAGGGCACGGTCTCACTCTTGCCTGCCCCTCCACGGAACCCCACTGGCCCAGCCACTGGCCCAGCCACTGCCCCACTGCTGCTGCCTCCAGGGAAGGGGAGTGTGATCTTCCAACCAGACCCTCCTTCCTTTGCAAGCTCCTGCCAGGTGCTGACTTCCTCCCACTGGCCCCCTCAAGGGGCTGGCTGTCCCTCCCCACCCTGGAGGCTCCTCGCTAACATCCGGGCCATACCCTACCTTCCCTGACCACCGAGCCACATCTGCTCAGATAGCCCCCGCCAACTGCCCCCTCAGCCACCATCCTCAGGGATGAACTCTGCTCCCTGCGCTAGACCTCTCAGTAGAAAACTGACCCCACTGAGTGCCCTTGGTCCTGAGCCACACCTGTCTCTCTTGCTGCCCCTCGTCCGTGTGGGACCCGGTTCAGGGTCCCACGCTGGCTCCCACTCTGTCACCTCGAGACACTTGTAGTGGCACAGGGCTTGGTCCCAACATACCTCTCTTTTCTCCTGTGGCTTTAAAGATCACCCACATGTCTGTGAGTGAGTCCCACAATGTCAGCTCTGGTCCTGACCCCCATGAGCTCTAGATTCTATCTCCACATGGAGGCCCAGACCCCTGGGACTTCACAGACCCCCAGCTGTGGCTCCTGGAAGGCAGGAGCCACATCTGTCCTGCACCTCCTGTACCCTCGTCATTTGCACACAGCAGCTGGCACTCGATAAACATTTGTCCATGGACCCCATTCCCCAAGCCTCTGTACTCTCTCCCCAAAGTCCCATTGGGCTTTTGGCTGCTTGGCGGAGCCCACGCCCTGTGACCTCTGAAGTCCTGGCCTACGACCACAACCTCCACCCCTGCCCTTCTCCTGAGCCTGACCTGGGCTCATCCCCACACTGTTCCTACTGTATAGCTCAGGGGTTCTCTCTCAACCAGGCCGCATCTCCGTCAGGCCCATTTCTGTGCTCTCACTCACACCCTGATGGCCTCTCTCTCCTGCCTCTACAGAGAACTGGCCTTGCCATCAGGGTTTCTCAAGCTCAGCCAATGTTTTGGGTCAGATGATCCTCTGTCATTGGAGGCCATCCTGTGCGCTAAGGATGTTCAGCAGCATCCCTGGCCCCTAGATGCCAACAGCACCTCTCCTCAAGCTGTGACAACCAAAAATGTCTCTGGACGTTGCCAAATGTCCCCCAGGGGGCAAAGTCGATCCCACTTAAAACCACTGTACTAGATCATTCCACCTGCTGTTTCTAGCCCTTGCCATGGCGGCAGATCCTCAGCCAAAACCTCAGAACTGGGATGACAAGTGCCAGACACTGGGCATGTCTTGTACTCTCAAGAGCCCCCGATTCGAACCTTCCAGACTTCCCTCACATGCACTCTCAGCCTGGTTCACACTCAGATGTGACCTTGGCCACCCCCAAGAGGAAGGCTGGAGACACTGGCAACACTGGCAAAAGAAGGGCTGGGTGTGGAAAGAGAGGAAAGACAGGGTCCAGCACAAACACCACAGGGGAGGAAAGAGGAGGAGACCCCCAGGTGAAGACGCGGCTGGACAGGACAGTATGGGTGGCCCAGGGTATGCACGGCCCAGGGAGTGGCTGAGACCAGCCTGCATTCCCAGAAAGGCCAGGTCTAGAACCCAGGACTCCTGGTGCACGGTCCGGGGGCCTGGTCCCTCTACCTCCACTGCCCCTGTGAGCAGCCACACCCCAGGCACCTGGCTGGGCCGCGTTGTTCATGATCCTGATGAGTCTCTCAGCCAGGAGATGGTTGTAGGTGGTCTTCTCGGCCGCACCGGGCACTGGGAGCTGGATTTGCTCGAGTTTCTCAGGATCCATGCCTGGAACGCAGAAAGGGGCAGGCTGTCGGTGGAGTCGCTCATCTGGGAAGGCGCCTCCGCGCGGGGCCGCCCCATGCTCGGTGGCCGTGGTCCATCTCCGTGATTTCTGCCATGACTGGTGCTGCCTGACCCCTCACCTACTGCAGAGTCCTCTGTAAACGGAACTTAAATCCACATATTAAAACATGTTCTATCACCGTTTGTAAAGGGGAAATCCGCATTGCCGCAACAGGGACAGTCACTGAGCAAAACAAAAAGACAATGTTTTTACATTTTAGCCAAAGACTTGACTAGCTACTACTCATCATGGTCTGAGACCTGCTCTCTTTGTTAAAAAGGGGAGGTTGGCAGGTACTTAAGAGGTGCGGAAGACGTACCAGCCCCAAACGGTGATAAACTCCTGGACATAATCGGGGGGCTCAGAACAGGGACGGAAAAGGAGTAGGTTCTGCACGGCATGGTGCTGCACCGTCCCACGCCAGGTCTGCGTGCCACCAGAGGCCACCCCCGGATCAGACACGTTCCACGGTGGGGGAAATGCAGACCAAGAGGAACGGACCAGACAGAAAGGAAATTACAGTCATGCCCAAGAGTTGCACCTCAAGCTCTTGGCAGCCAACTCAAGGAGCCGGGCCCGCCACTCGAATGCACAGGCGGGGGCCGGCGCTGCACTGGGCAAGGGGTGGTGTTGGCACAGAGACATTAGGCTACATCCTACAACAGAGAGGTGCAAATACAGAGATGCCAAGAGCGCGGGTCTCTCTTGAAGAGGCAAAGGAATCGTTTTTCTGCCAGGAAACACGGACAGCATTTCGAAGACAAAAGACAAGACGGGAGGGGTGGCTGGGCAGAGAGAAGGGGAGCGCACACAAGTCCAACTGTGACCTCAAGGTCACCTCCCTTAAAGCAGAACCTGGGGGCTGGGGCGGCAGGAGGACCTGTGCAGACTACTTCAGCAGGCCAGGTGCGGGGTGAGGGTTGCCCCAAATCCTTATCTCTCTTCTAACGTGGCTCTGGAAAAATACACTCACAGAAACAAACATTTCACTTGATCCAAGGTTGGAAAGCTGAATGGATTGTTTGTGCTGAAAGCACGTCTTTTCCTGTTATTCTACAAAAGGGGGGAAGGTGGCACTTCTCGGAACTCTTGAAATACGGCCCCTTGAGTACTAGATGACGCTTCATTTAGAACCTTGACAAAACAGAGGAGGATAGCATTGAAGAGCTGACTGTCTGCTTCCTAAGTGACTCCTACACACACACACATTGACGTAATAAACCATAACAATATATCTTGCTTTATTGAATTCCTTCCAGCTCCAAACCAAAGGCTGAGCCATGCCAAGGAGATGACACGGGTGAGGGACGGCCTGAGGGCTCGAGCTGGGTAGTTTTCACGAGCGCACTTCCCTAACGTGGCTTCATCAAAAAATCCGATTGCAGCGAAAATTTAATTTGCGGATTCTATATCCTATCTTGATGCTCCATGTCCAGCTCTGAAGCATCCTGGTTTATTAAATGGCAAGAAGAACACCAACTGAATCTTTTTGGCGGCTCTTTTTTCCCCCCAGAGATGTCAACACCACCCCCACATCTCTCTGTCCTCCCGTTCTGGCCCTTTGGGAACTGTCAGTCAGTGGTTCTGGGGAAAAACGCTCCCCGGTTGGACCATCTCTCATCCCCCCTCAATGAGGCCAGCGGGAGGGAATATGGCGGTGGTCAGCAGAACCGGGAGAGACCGAGACTTGAACCGGGTCTTGAATTTCCACATTTTGTCTCTTCCCTGTGACCGCCCCCACTCCCTGAGAATTTGTCAAAAATGAGAAAATCTGTGGCAAAATCTTCTCTCAACAGGAAGAAAAACACTCCAAGGTTATCCTGACCTCCCTCAACTAGTGGATCCACTCTCTGTGAAGAGGGGGACCCCGAGGGACAGAGACACTTCCTTCAAGAACTTCACAGGACTGGATTCCAGTACAACCTCCTCCTCTAGCTGGAAATTAGGGCCCAGAGATGTTAAGTCACGTCTCCAAGGTAACAGAGCAAGTTGGCAGTGTTGTCAGAATAGGAGGATTCCAAAGGTGGACAAGATCCAGCTAACTTCCAAACACGACGCTGTTTGGGGGCCAACTCAGGGACAAGCTGCTCAGGTAGGAGTCTAAGGATGAGCGAGAATTTGCCTTGAGCTGCACAAGGAGCTCCTGCATGGAGTGTGGTAAAACTTCGGGAGGGCGGGGGATGGGGGGACCCTGGGGGGAAGCAATGAGGCAGATGTTGGGGTAAGGGGTCAGGCAAGGCTTACCTGCCAAGATCCCCGGAGGGCAGCTAGTGGGAGATGACATGATCTGGTTGTGCTCATGCCTACTCTGGAGTGGTCTCCATTGCCCCCCAACCACTCAAGGTGATCTCTCTCCTCAAGGCACTCTCCCCAAAACAGACTTGGTATTACAACGCATTCTATGTGAAGTGGATTTTACCACCAGCCACTGGGGAGACAGAGAACAGGGTCGACTCCATACAACACATGGAAAAACTTTGTAAAAACAAACAAACAAACAAAAACCCTTTGAGCATCTCTGTTCTTTCCCCAAAGTTTCCCCTGAGCCAGGTGCCTCAGTTCCTCCCCCTCTCTCTTTTTTCTCCCACCACAGCCTCTAAAAGCCCCTCCGTTACTCTGAATGATCCCATCCCTGCCCTTGGCTTTCAAGGCCTGTGCAGCCATTCAAAAGCTCCAGACATTCTTCTGGGTCCAAACAAATTAGTGGCTGAGAATTGTTAATGAACACGGTCGATGTCACGATATGACAAGAATATGCATGTGAACAGGGAAACGGCACACGTGTGCATGGACACACACACACACACAGGTTTTTAGGCACTGAAAGGCAGATTTTGTCACAAGCCTGATTGAGTTTCTTTGCTAGCCATTTCCGCCTGACTGAAATAAACACTGTGGATAATATATTGTCCTATTTGCTTCAACCCTTAAGTACTGAGCAACAGAGAAATTCCAAAGAAACCCAGATGTGCTTCACATGGCCTGAGAAGACGTGCTAGCACGTTCAGACTTCCAGCAGACCACATGCTTCCTCATTCCCTTCCTGCTGGGGTCAGATCCTGCTCTGTCCAAATGACTCAGAAAGGGTCTCCCTCTGCATCGCTTCCACCCAGTGATCACAGGGTTCGGGGGAAGGTGGTGGCGGGGGGCACTCCCAACAAATTCAAACAGTCCAAAATAGAAGGGAAGGGTGTGGCTCCGTGATGTCAGGAACCAGTTCCTAAGCTTCCCTTCTAAGTTCTGGCTCCTGGATTCGGCCTCCTTAGCAGGAGCCGCCACCCAACAGAGGGGTAGAAAAGACCCAGACCAAAGCTCCATAAAAAGATGGAGACCAACACCCTGGCTAAAGAGGCCACAACAGCACCAGGTAAATGATGGGCAAAAAATGTGTTTTGTTTTGACCATGCGAGGTCTCCTTGGCTGTAGTCACACAAGCATTGCCAGCTTTGGAAAACTATAGACCAACTATTTCGAAAGCTAACCAGATGTTGGGCCGATTTCCAACGTACTTCTAGTTCTGATTATGTGTCAGTCGAGATCCAAAATGATGGTTTGCCAGCTCTCTGCATGACGAAAGCCTCCCTTTATCCTATTACCTTTCAACCTTTCCCATACCTCTCATCTGTGTTCCAGTAACTTCTCAGAAAACAAAACAAAACCCAAAAAGCCCGAGATTCCTCTTGGGTAAACAATGATAAATGGATGGGGCAAGAGGGTGGTGGGTGGAGTAGGGGAACCTTTAAGAATACAAAAGCTGCAGAACTCACCCCCCTCCCTTGGGCCAGGCCTCTGCAGACTTGACAAAGGAGAGAAGGCTGCATTTGCTATTACAGATATGAACCAGAATTCATTATGTGGCCCAATTGAATCACAACGAGTGCCTTCCTCCAACTGGTCAACCCTTTCCACAGTGGGATATTCATTTCGGTGCAGCATCTAATCTATTATGATTTACTGGAAGGCCTGAGCTAACATTTGGTTTTTATTAACATTGCTTTTATGTTAAAATTGTCTTATGATGAAAAATCTATCGGAAAGCGACCATTTCATTAGGGGCCCTGCTTGGAGGGTATAGATCTAGGGAAGAGAGGCTGAAGGTTAAGTGCAGCTAATTGCCTGCTGCCTAACCAAAAAACCAACTGACCAACCACTACCACCAACAAAAGACCCCCACCAAATACAGAACCTGTGCCCACAGGCCAGGAATGGAGCACAAAACCATAAAGCAGCTTCTTGCTAGGCAGTCTCCTTTGGGGTCCCCTGGGCAGCTGGGCCCCAGGTGGCAAACCTGAAGCCTCCAGCTTCCTCTCCAAACCTGCTCCATGGCCCATGCTCGCTGGTTCTGGAAATGGCACCACCAGCCACACAGTAGCAGGGTCAGGGATCTGGGCATCACCCAGACTCCTCCCTTGGGTGCCCGCTCCCAACCAAACTAAGCAGGACTCCCCTCCCCCAGCCCTGCTCCTCTCCTGTCTCCTCCATCTTCGAAAATGGCCCCACACAGTTGCCCAAGTGTCCCCTTCACTCTCTTGCCACATCCAGTCCATCAGCTCATCCTGGCCTTAGGTCCAAAACATATCATAAATCCTTCCAGTTTTCTCCAGCTCTATGGCCAACATGCTGATTCAACCCACACTATCCCTTGCCGGGACTACTGCAATGGCTTCCTACCGGGCCTCCCACTTTCCCTCTTGCAATTCTCTCCCTCACTCCCTTCATCTACTCTCCAACCAGTAGCCAGACTGCTCCTTCAAAAATGTCCATCTGACCATGTCACTCATTACTTAAAAATACTTCAGGGTTTCCAGGACACCAGGGAGGCTCAACCAGTTAAGCATCCAACTCTTGATTTCGGCTCAGGTCATGATCTCAGGGTCCAGGGATTGAGCCCCATGTCTGGCTCCACGCTCAGCGGGGAGTCTGAGATTCTCTCTCTCCCTCTGCCCTTCCCCTCTGCTCTCTCTCTCTCAAATAAATAATCTTAAAAAAAAAAAAAAAAAAGCCTTTAAGGTTTCCCACTGCACTTGGAATAAAATCTAAATTCCTTTTCATGGCCTCCAAGGCCCTCTGAGATCTGGGCCCTACTCAGCTGGTCAGTGCTTCACT